GATTTCTCGCTTTCTGTCTCTGTCTCTTTCTTTCTGGCAAGCACACATGCCCTATAGCAAAAACTTCTCAAAAAAAAAAAAAATTATTGCTGTCCAACAGGAGAACACCACAGCCTAAATGTGAGTACTGGTCTAGCTCTTGGATACCAGGGGCTGCTCTTCTCTTGATCAACTATTAAAAACAATTTATCATTACATTTGATAAAATGTATTCTGCTTCTGCGTATACTGAATTTGTTTTCCACATTGATATCCTGTACCAAAAAAATCAGAGTGTGTGCTCTCATAAATATTTCTGTGCTATTTTGGGATTTAAAAGATAACGCGGAATTGTAACTTGCACGTTGAATATTGAGATGTCTGAATCATTTCAACAGTTTTTGGCAACGGTGTTCAGGATATCTGGAGTTTGGAATACTCCAGGAAATCTGAGATGTGTAGTCTTCCAATATATTCTTTCCCACTTTCAATCTATTTGCCCTAATCTCAGTGCTGCATTTTGTGATCTCATTATTTGGAATCACATTTTATGTTAAACTTTCCATAAAGTATGTTTAAGTAGGTTTGATTTATTTTTATTTCCATGGTATAGCTAATTTTTCGTAAAGTATGTGAAGGAAATAATAAAAATATACTCTATAATTACATTCCAGAAGACAAAATTATCTATACATTTAGTATTACAAGAAAATTGGCTACGTTTTAGAAATACTTAAGTGCTTGTGACAGTCTTTCAGGAAAAAGCCAATGTTTCTGGTAATGCATTAGAATTATAATTGGTCTTATATTCCACTGGACGGTAGCCAGTTAACTATGACCTCAGATTTCTTATGGAGTCATTCTAGAAAAACTCAGTATCATCTGCCCCCGATGAATTGTGCATTTATGTGCATGTGCACGTGCTTGTTGGATCATTTCTCTGGTAGAGTAATACAAATTCATGTAGCAGTTTTCTTCCAAGAGATTCAAAGAGCTGAGTATATATCATCATAGTGATCTTTCCAAACTCACTGGAAGCTGACAGTCATTTTCTATATTATCTTTTTTCTGGGGGGGGGAGGTTTTTCGCTATAGGGTGCGTGCGCTCACCAGACAGACAGAGAGAGACACAGAGACAGAAAGCGAGAAATCACCCCCCCGGGGGTATGGTCACGCCACAGTCCCTTCTCTTCCATTCTCCTCTCAGGATCTTGGGCACGCACGCACACGCACC